TTTTTTTTTTTTTTTGTTGGTGTTAAGTTCTTAATGTACCTAGGGTAGCTTTCATGATACCTTGAAAATAATTTATTAATATTTCTTTAGATGATTTTATTGGTGAACCCCTTGCATTGCATGGGCTTGACTCCAAAGCATTGAACTTTAGATCTGGTTTGTAAGAGTGTATCCAAGTCTTGGGCTTTATTGGCGTGCATGTCAATTTTGTTGTTGTTTTTTCTTAAAATTTAGTTTATATTTAAAATTGTTGTAAAATATTGTGATTGTGGCTTTTTCAATATTCTACTATAAAAAAATTATGTTATTATTTAATAATTATTTTAAAAAGAGTCTTAGACATTAATATAACCACTAAATTTACAAAATATCAATAAAAATTTATTTAATTATAAGAAGTTAATACTTTCATAAAGTGCTATAAGCAAAAATACTATGAAAAAACAACCCGAACGTAACCATGGTACTCTTTCTATCCCAAAACAACTATGTTCTTAAATTTTGAGTTTGTCCCAAATTCATTGTCAGTTTTTTCTTTTTTTTTCTTTTCTTTTTTTAAGGTTGACAAATTTTTTTCTCTAATTTAACTCTATTATTATCCATTTATTTTGATTAATTAACCTATTTACGAAAAGTCTTTCTTTATCTTTTAGATTTTTTTAAAGGTAATGTAGGTAAATACATAAATAGTCCCCAAATTTTTAATTTAAAGAAAAAATAAAAAAATGACAGTTATTATAACACAAAGGAAGAAATTTATAAATATTTTTGCCTAGCAGACTATCACAGCAATGTAATTAATCCCTAGTCAATAGCCATATGAGAGCATGTACAATGGGAACAATGAAAAATTTTATTTTGGTTCTACATCACTACCCAATGTAATCTTTCATCTTATTTTGTAACAATAGGAACATTGATTAATAGAAGAAATTCTTGTAGCATATAAGAAGTCGAATAAAAGGAATAAAACAATAAGAGATAATTCACTTGAATTTAAAAGTAGAGCACTCATCCTAAATTTTATGCTTTCACTCCTACTTTAAACAACAAATCAAATTTAATAGTTTACCAAAACATTAGTTGATGCGATCATATCAACACCAATGCACCAAATCCCATCAAGAATTCTGTAGTTAAACATGTTTCAACGAGAGTCTAGGATGAATAATCTCTAGGAAAGTCCTCATGTTGCACCCCTCATCCTCATTTTGTCCTTAGGGGATATCCTAGTAGTTAAGAGTTAGAGACTTTATATTGAAGATCTTAAACTCAAATTTTGATACAGGTGAGAAAGAGTTTAGAAAGTAGATAATTATTTCTGTTATATAACCCATCATCTGATATTAAAAAAGAAAAAAAAAAAAACCCCATTAGTCATATTTACATCATTATCCACAAAGGATAACTTAAATGTAGAAAAATTGATGCTCTAAAGTAATTTCATTTTTGTAGAAAATACATATTGTATTACATAAATATTTTTAACCATATTTTAATATTGTATTAAAAATAGATTTGTTACTAATAAAACTCACGTTAAATTGTTAATCATTAATCAGTAACCTAGAAACCTTAATTTTGAATAACAAGTTAATTTCCACTATACAATATATTATGCATACATAAACTAAAATTTACACCACATTTTGGTGTTATTTTGAATATACATTAACTTAAGACCATAAAATTTCATTAATCACAATTTATCACTGATATTGTCGAAGGCTAAAGGTTTCTGGCAATAATCTTGTAACACACCCTACCATACTCAAGCATTCCGAAGACTGAGGGCAAGGCAGTAAAAATGTGAATAAAACCTTAAATTCAATTTGAAGCAATATGACTACCAAAAAAGAGGAAATCTCTAGGTATTCTAGATTAGAGACACCTCATTGAGATTAATGCACAATAACGTGTAGAAGACAATAATGCATGGCCAAATTTGCTTCAACTTTGATTAAGTAAAATTAAATTACTTAGAGTAATGAACCAGGGTAAGTACAGGAAGAAAACTTGGACAACCACCAAAGACTTGTAAGTCTTTCACCTTTCACCTGCCTCTTGAAGAAAGAGACAAAACACCACAGACTACTTCAATTCTTATGCCTATAAATACAAGTTTCCTTGAGGGGTTTTCTCATCC